TATGGTTTTCTTCCTCTTTTTTGACTTTTGGTTTCAGAATTTTGATGAGAAGGATTGGAATCAGTTTTACAGTGATGTGTTAGGTAAGCCCTGAGTTCCTTAATAGTTTACCTGCCAGGAGTATACAGCCACTCCACAATTTTTTATATAGCTGAAAGTAAATAGGTTGGTCTTTAAAGTTATGAGGATCCTTTGTTTATTTATTGCTGATAAGAAATGGAATTTGTCTTTAACAATATGACTTAGTTAACATGAAACATAGGTAGCTCGCTATAACATACTCTGTGAGCTAAAGTTTGAATCTTTAAAGCAGAAAAATAGGTTCATAGAAATTAGACCTAAATACCATTGGGGGGGTTGTTTTTTTTTTTAAATTTGACATTGGGTCTTTTTATGTATGTAGCCTGAGCTGAAGGTACACTGGCCATGCATGAGCCAATAGCTCAGCTGAAGCCAATCATTTTGAAAAATACTGTGGAGAACTCCCTTCCTCCCCTTTCTATTATTCCTAGGTGGCAAGAATAGCATGAATGAAAATTCAAAGATTAGAACAATGAGGGGAGAGGGGAATGCATTAGAGGGACAGAACCTGCTGAAACAGAGGGTTGAAAAAGAAAGCATTTGGAGATAGAATTAGGAAAGCTAAGGCAGGGCCAATTAATTAAAAATTTTGAGAATTATCTGTGATTTGACATGACCCCAGTAGTTTAAGGTACACTTATTTCTACAGTGACTGTACATATTGTTTTGGATATTGCTCATTTTTCTTACCTTTTATGCAATATACTTGATTTCCATGATCTTAATTAGCAAAAGTGATGATGCATATCACTCCTGACAAAAATTGTTTGGATGAGTACTTTGCTTTTTTCTTTCCCCCTAAGTGAAGTCAGTAAGCATTTATTGAAGGTCTACTATATGCCAGGCACTGTGCTAAGGTCCAGGGATACAAAGAAAGACAAAAACAGTCCCAATATTCAAGGAGTTCACAGTTTAATGGTGAAGATGCAACAAGCAAACAATTGTATATATGCAGGATAGATTGGACATAATCTCAGAGGGAGATATTAGCATTAAGAAGGATGAGAGTGGCTTCTTGTGAGCACCATGAGTCCCTAGGAGCTCAGAGGCCTTCCTAGGAACTCAAGACCCTTCGTTAACCTCAGAGCAGGGATTCTTAACCCAATTTTGATAACAATTTTTTCAATGATTGGTTTCCTTTATTATCCTATGTATTTTATTTTATGCATTTAAAAACATTCTTGGGGGCAGCTAGGTGGCGCAGTGGATAGAGCACTGGCCCTGGAGTCAGGAAGACCTGAGTTCAAATCTGGACTCAGACAAATAACACTTACTAGCTGTGTGACCCTGGGCAAGTCACTTAACCCCATTGTCTAGCAAAAAACAAAACAAAACAAAAAAAAAACAAAAAAACATTCTTCTGAGAAGGGATCCATACTGTATTTCACCAGACTGCCAAAGGGGTTCATGACACATACAAGGCTAAGAATCCTTGGGCTAGAGATTTGACCTATCTATGACATAGCTAACTCCTTTTTTTTTTCTTTTTCCCTTAGGGAGACCCACTACATTATGTGAAACTATGGGAAAAGCTGAAATGTGGCTGATTCGAACATACTGGGATTTTGAATTTCCTCGTCCATACTTGCCAAATTTTGAGTTTGTTGGAGGACTACACTGTAAGCCTGCCAAGCCTCTTCCTGAGGTAAACCTATCATGTGGTTTTCCAAGTTTTAGTCTCGTACAAAGATGTCCTGTTTTCTGTGCACAAAGGCAAGGAGGAGGGAAGATAGCAATCATTTACTAAGTACCTACTTGCCTAACGAAGGGCAAATTGGTCCAGGTTAGAAACAGAGAATATCGATGCTCCCTCATCCATCAGTAGTGTGACTGGCCTATTAGCGACCATTGTACTTTTAGCCTGAGTAGGATAGGGAGAACTAGTTTGTCTCTTTCTCTGTATATATAGAGTTATCAAACTATACTTTAAAATACAAGTTCGTAGACCTTGGTTAAAACCCCTGCTCTATGGTCCCATCTTGTTTTTAATTCTATTGTGATTGTTTTTTAAAGGTCATAGTTTTAGTCATCAATCAGTCATTATGTGGCTAATGTATGTACATACATTAGTTTCAAGATCCAGTTCAAATTTTACCTCTCCATGAAGTACTTCCTATTACCTCTAACCAGAAATAATTCTCCCTTCTTAGATTTTTGATAGCTCTTTGTTTATAACTCTCCTTTGTACTTATAGACTTAATTTCGTATTTGAGTTTTGAGATCTATCTTATCCCCCCAGTGAGATTATGGGTTCCTTGAGAGCAGTGACCATTGACTTTTAATAATAATAATAGCTTGCATTTATATAGTACTTTACAAATACTATCTAATTTTATCCTCACAACAAACTGGAAAGTAGATGCTATTATTTTCCCCATTTTGCAGATTAAGAAACTGAAGCACAGCAGAAGTTAAGTGGCTTGCCCAGGGGTCACACAGCTAAGAAGTATCTGAAGCTGGATTTGAATTCAGGACTTCCTGAATCCAAGTCCACTGTGCCACCCAGCTACCATCTTAGAGAAAGGAAACTGGATAACCACTTGACTTATCTAATAGGATTCCTGTTCAGATCCATATTGAACTAGATAACCTCAAAAGTCCCTTCCAACTCTGAATTTCCATGCTTTATCTCCCTAGAACCTCACACAGTGCTTCTCATGTAGTTTGTCAATACTTCAAAAGAACTGTAGATGCTCCTTTTTGCAAACAGTTTCTTTGCACTTAAGTAGCCAGTCTTTGATTGAATTGCTGTAGTCATCAATAATCACCAATAATCAAAGGTAGCTAGCACTGATAGTGACGCTCTGCAAACACAGCTAGGCAAGTGTTTGAATGGCCTCATAAAGTCCTTATTTGAAGCCTTTGCAGCAAGATAGTGTAGTCTGAGAACCCAGAATATATCCATAAGGCATCAGAAGAGGCCTTGAGAGGTAAACATACAGAGTATGCTTAATACAGACTTGTTACTTCATAAATGTTTGTTAGCTTGATTGGGTTGAATTGATTTATTTTTTTTCATGCTGCATTCTCCATCTGATAGATGATAAATCTCTCCTTTACAGGAAATGGAAAAATTTGTCCAGAGCTCTGGGGAACATGGTATTGTGGTATTTTCTCTTGGGTCAATGGTCAAAAACCTAACTGAGGAAAAGAGTAACCTCATTGCTGCAGCTCTTGCCCAGATTCCACAGAAGGTGAGAAAAAGGAGACAAACCTCTTTTGCTGCCTTGGTCTGTTTTAAATTTACAAAGCGGGTCTACTTAGCAAGATTTTCTAAAAAATCAGGTGGAATCTTATAATAGAGCTTACTTCTAGTAGACTAAGTTCTCAAATATTTTCTTAATTATTAAACCTTAGGAAAACAGGGTGAGGCATTAGATTATTTATCAAATTTAGCTTTTGTTCTGCTGTTGCAAAGGATTATTAATGGTTTAAAAAATAGAAACTGAACCCCAATGGCTGATTTAGAGTTTTTATCACCATCATACCTGAGCTGCATTTTCTTTAAAGATCCTGGACTATTTTTAGCTCACAGAACCTGGAAACAAACTGGTGTTGACAAAGCCAAAGGTAAAAGTACGACCTGATCATGGAAAACTGGTCCAGATTCGTAGGGCCCACTTGCACCTTATCCCCACGTATCTCAGGATCAAGGTTTAAGTAGGCTCAGATTGGTATCGGGCTTTTCTAAGCAGGGGCTTCTGAGAATTTCCTCTCATTGTCGTGGTCAGGTAATTTGCATATTAGCTAATGTACTCTAATCTTGTAATGTTGTCATCCCCACAATTCAGTCTGAGAACAGTATAATATAGAATAACTTTTTGAATCATTCAAAATGTAGGTTTTAGAGTTTTCAGACTTGAAATATCTCTCCTTCCCTTAATATTCACAAAATAGTAAAGGTAAGTAAGTCTCTGAGTGTTGGGATAATTTTCTTCTCAGGATTTGTCATATAGATAATCAATTCAACATTTCATTGTCAACTACTCTTGAATACCTATCTTTTCCTTTTATCTTATCACCACTCATTTCTTGCCAAACATCAGCCCTCTATTAGTCTCATTATCTTTTTTCTCTGCTTCTACTCATGTGATGCTGAATAGCACTGGGGGAAATCACAACCATTCTGACTGGGGACATGACAAATTCATGCTGTCCTAATTCAAATGAGTTTCCACTATAGCAAGTCAACTCTCCTAATTCCTAAGTCTCATTGCCCACAAAAAGTATCACAAACCTTCTTTTCTTTCCTCAAACCCCCCATACCTCTCTAGTCATATGACCACCATCTTATTTGAGGCCCTATCACCTCTCTCTTAGAGTAGTTCTGTAGTCTCCTAATTAGTCTCCCTCCCTCACATCTCTCCTCTCTCCAGTCTTTCTTACTCATGTAAGCTGTCAAAAGTGATTTTCCAAAAAATTAAATTAAATTTTAAAAATTTTTAAAAAGTGATTTTCCTTAACCATAGATCTGACCATATAATTCCTTTTATCATTAAACTCCATTGGCTCCCTATCATCTCTAGAATGAAATATAAATTTATTTAGCTTTTAAAGACCTTCACAATCTACCTCTATCCCACACACTACAATCCAACCAAATTCGGCTTTTCTCTGGTCCTAACATATAAGACTCCATCTCTTATTTCTGTTCCTCTGCATTGGCTATCCTTCAAACCTAGAATGCTCTGCTTCCTCACTTGCTCCTCCCTGAGTCCCTTCTCTTCCTTCCAGACACAGTTCAAATACTACTTTCTGTATTATCCCCCATTGCCCTAACTACTTTTTTATTTATTTGTATATTTTTTCTTTATATCAATTCTGTACGTATTTATGATCTTGTTGTTCCCCCTACCCCAATAAAATGCAAGTTTCTTAGGCATAAGGATGGTTTCATTCTTTTTATTTGTATATGTAACACAGTATCTGTCATATAGTAGATACACTCAATTAATGCTAGTTGATTGATTGGTACTAGCACTTTAATTTGTTGATGGATTTGTGATCTCATCAGTGTGACTGCTATATCCACTGGCATAGATCATGGCCATTGCAGGATTTGTCATCTGTGGGATTCCTGTCCATCTCTTCTCATTTCCATAAATAATCTACTCCTTACATTCCAGGGGCTTTCTTCTTGTTACTTCACATTCCCTGGCATAAATCTAAGATGTTGTGATATTACCATAGATTTGTGCCAAACATTTCTTTCTAATACGGTTCTTAGAAACTGTTTCCTTTTACTAAAAACAATAATACATTTACTTAACTTTTGCATAGCTTTGTAACATTTCATGAAATTTCCAAGAACATTTCCAAGACCTCCATCACATACGGGTCCTACTGAACACATAATATAATATGCCAGAGAGGGGTTAGGAGGCTTGCCTAGGTCACAGTGAGTCAGCATTTGATGAGAACTGTGGTTTATGAGCCTCAGCCAATGTGTTCCTTTTTGCCAACTAGCCCAAGGTCATTATGGTTCAAAGTAAATAAAATGGTTAACTAGCATAGAAAGGTAAGTGAAAAGAATGTTTTCTCCTCTACAGAGAAGTATACTTTCCCACAGATTGCCATATCACTAGTGGGGAACAGGACCTGGGAAAGGAACCTAAAATGACCGGGGAAATATGTATGGCAAGGCAGACATATAGGGGGCATATGCCTAGGATATGTGTAAGGAGAATACATACATAAGGAACAAGTGAAAGGATACATAGGTTTTGAGTTAGAGGGAACCTTTGAAGTTATCTGGTTCAATATCTTTATTTTATACACATGGTAATTGAGACTTGGAGAAGTTACATGTCTTGTCCAAGATCAAACAAGTAGCAGGCTGCAGAACAGGGTTCAGAAGCCAGATTCTCTGCATCCAAAGCTAGTACTCTTTCCCTGCTGCATCTTTATCCTGCATGAAGGGTTAGAACTTGTGTATCCAGATCACATCAATAGCTGAGGCAACTCATAGCTGTAAGTCGGCAGAGCCCATGATGTCACCCGAGGATGTCACTGGATAAGTTTCTTTCTCCATTGAGTTGGGGATCTTTGCTGCCCTGGTCTCTCTATCTTACTGCTCTCTGCTAGGCATCACTTTACTGTTATCTTAAGTCTTGTCTCTATGTTGTACATCATCTGTTGCAGTGCAATCATGGTGGAAAGATCACTGAATCTTGAGTCCTCAGATGTGAGTTCAAATTCTTGCTCTGTCATTTACTAACAGCAGTCCTTAAGTGTGCCTTTTGACTTAATCCAACTTTTACAGAACAAATCCTTTAAAATTTGGATTCAGTCAAAAGGCTGCACTTAAGGATTTAGAAGGTCACATGTGGCCTTAAGGCCGCAGGTTCCTTACCCCTGGCTAACACTGTGACTTAGAAAAGTCATTTAACCACACCCTGGGCCACAGGTACCTCATCTGCAAAATGAGCTAGCCTGTTAGCTCTAGATCTACGATGCTGTGAACTAGACAGTGTCTCTGTGGCTCTCTCTTCTGACTTGCACAGAACCTCAGATACTCTTTCCTACCATCACCTGCTCTTTGTTGGCATTATGACTAGATTATAGCTGCTAGATTGTCAGCTCTGACAAACTCATAGTATTAGGTTATTATTTTTAAATTCAGAATTTAGTGAGTGACACTCAGCCAGCTAGTTTGCTAAGGAAAGTCCTAAGGGGATTTTGAATCTGTCTTTAAAACTTTCTCTTCTCTGTTCTTTCCTCCCCTCAGTCAGTCAACAGCTATTTTGTTATGATAATTTTGTTATAATAAAATAAAGTTGTCCAAGTGTCTAAATGACCAAGCACTCTACTAAGGACACAAAGAAATGCAAAAAAAAACCAAAACCAAAAACAAAAACCAACCCAGATCCTGCTTAAGGAACTCACAGTCTATTGGGAAATACAACATTCGAACAGCTATGTACAAACCAATTCATACATGCACACAAACATGATATATACATACATATACATGCATACATACACACATATATGATGTGTGTATATATTTTTTCAGTTGCATCTGACTCTTTGTGATTCTATTTTGGGGTTTTCTTGACAAAGACACTGGAGCGGTTTGCCATTTCCTTCTCCCGCTCATTTTACAGATAAGCCGCTAAGGCAAACAGGGTTAGGTGACTTGTCCAGGGTCACACAACTAGTAAGTGTATGAGGCCAAATTTGAACTCATGAAGATCAATTTTCCTGATTCCAAGTCCAGTGCTCTATCCACTGTGCCACCTAGCTGCTATGTAAATAAATAAAATAAATTGTGGATGATCTCAGAAGGAAGGCACTGAGATTAGGGAGAACTGGGAACTCAGGGTCACATAACTAGCAGATTGGTGTCCCCTGATGCCAAGGGTGAACAGAGAATCCAGAAATTGGGCATGGCCACTAGTGGGTATAATGACACAGGAAAGTTCAAGCCTATAAAGATGGAGAAGAAATCTCAAGGGTTGGTGACTAGGATCTCACTGGAAAGAGCAGTGGGGATGGCAGGGAACATAAATGGAGTGTGGAACAACAGAGCAGGCATGAGGAGCAGAGAAAGAGTAGGGTAACAAGAAGAAGAAGGAAGAACATTGAAGAGGATAAAGGAAAGAGAAGCAGATCAGAGAGTCCTGGAGGAGAACAAGAAAGTACTGAGGAAGCCAGATGAACAAAGAAAGATTGGAGGAGGCCAAAAGATAAAGGAAGAGGCTGAACAGGGAAGAGAGGAAACTAGGGAAGCAAGACAGAGACTGAGGGTGCAGGGAAAACAAAGGAAAGATCATAGATCATAGACAGAGCTGGAAGAGACCTTAGAAAGAGGCCTTATTTAGTCCAACCCCCTCATTTTACCTATGAAGAAACAAAAAAATGAGAGAGAGGACATGACTAGCCCAGCGTTACATAGGATACAAGTAACTGAATCAGAATTTGAACCCAAGTCCTTTGATTCTAATCCCAATACTCTAGGATGGGGCAACAGGGAAGAGGAAATTAAGATTATGGATGAGGAGTATGAAGAAGTACAGGTGAATGGGGAGAAGGTTTGAGTGGCAGGAAAGAAGATAAAGGGAGATGGCAGGTAGAGTAGGAAGGGGGCTGGGACAGTAAGAAGGTTGATGAGGTACTTCCTCAGTTTAAGTGTCATTAAAGTTATGGTCAGAAAATCCCTTCAAATTCCTGTCATATCCCTAATCAATCATTTAAAATCATTCTGGGGACTCTACTTAGCAGAACTGCAAAGAAACTATGAAGCTATAAAACTTCCTCTTAGCACTCATAATGACCCTAGTTTGCATGCAAATCAACTTAGGGAAAGACTTGAAGGCCTGAATGATGCTGATGAGCATTTTTCTACTTTCCTGCCTTCTCCTTACCTTCCAGCAAGCAAGAAAATACTTAGCTTCATTACACCAATGACTTTGTTTCACTGGAAAAAGTGCCTATTACACTATTTTCCTTTGACATTATTGTAATGGCTTAAGTGGATTTGGGGTTGTTGTTGTTTTGGAGTTTGTTTGTTTGTTTTCCTCAGTGAGTAGTGGTTATCTCTCCTTCACTAGCAATAAGCATTTAGCTTGTTAGAAATGAGTGAGTTTTACAATTAAAGGACTATATGGAATGAAACTGAAATGTAAAGGTTTAGTTATCTTTATTTTTAAGAATCATTTCTACTAGATTTTGTGCTCTAACATATTAAAATTCATTATACATAATTACAGATCCTAGTATATGTGAAAGCATTCTGTAAAGCTTTATAAACAGAGGCAGGGTAACTAGAGAGCCACTTGGAATGGCTCCAAAGATTTGGACTCAGTATAACTTGGGTTCAAGGCTTTATTCTGATGCATGCTGTTTGACCCTAGGCAACTGGGAAGCACAGTGGCTAGAGCACTGGGCCTGGAGTCAGAACCTCAGGCACTTATGAGCTATGTGACCCCGGGTAAGTCACTTAGCCCAGGAAGCATTGCATATAACATCAGATTTTTTTCAATGTGTTAATTGGTTGTGTTTATTTTTCCCCCTCTTCTTTCCTCTTAAAAAAATTATTTGTTATAAGAAATGACTTTGTGGGAGGCAGAGGAAAAGATTATGGGGGAAATGTAGGCAATGTAAAAAAAATCTCTACAAATGCAAGGTGCAGAGAATCAATCATCATCACATCTATTAGTGTTTTAGCTACTGAGTCTTTCTAAGACAACAATGGAATAGAAAATCATTTGGTGCTGAATGTTATCCCACCCTAATCAATATTGCCCATGTGTTCTTTTCATAAATGTTACTTTTGTTGATGTGCTTTGATTTTATATCTTTTTATTCCCAAATATGTCCCTTCTCCTCCCCTCCTCAGTGATCTGTCCCTTGCAACAATGATTAAAAAAGAAAAAGCAGCTCAGCAAAACCAATTAATACATCAACTCACATTATATATCTATCTCTATCTCCATTTCTATCTATCTATTTATTTATTCAAGCTTCATAGACTTTCAAATAGAAACATGAATTTGAGAAAGTAAACTGGACACAGTCTTAAAAGAAAACCTTATCGACAGAATGAATCTGTTGACTCAGTATCCTCATTTGTAAAGTGAGGTCCCCTCCAGTTCTAACATTCCAGGGATCTATGACTATTTGGCGTAATGAAAAAGGCAGGTGAGCATAAATTTTGTGATAAAAGGAGCTATCCCAGTATTTTTGTTGTCATAAAATTTCCCCTGCTCAAAATACTTCACTAGCTCACTATTGCCTCTGAGTTAAAATACAGCCTCTTCAGACTCAGGCTCAGCATTTAAAGTTGTCCACAATTTGGGTCCAGCTTACTTTTCTAGTATTACTTTATATTGACCATTGGGAATTTTTGACCTTTTAGATTTCCATTGTAATAGAATTCAACTCACTGGGGAATTGCTGAATAGACTACTTTCTCCAACGTCAACTACCTTCTACCTGGCTTTTCTTTCTCAATTCCCTCTTTTCAAACTCAATCCCTGAAGGCAATAGAATAGACAGAAATAGTAGGAAGGAGGCAGTATGGTAGGAAAGAGCTCTGAATTCTGACTCAAATTACCTAGGTTTGAATCGAGGCTCTGCCGCTTAATACATGAGTGATCTTAAGAATTCGGGCACCATTTTCTTCCTCTGTAAAATGAGAGGATTAGACGAGATGATCACTGAGATTCTTTCCAGATCTAAAATTCTACAATCTTATGACATAGCTATACTTTGTTGTAGTTTCATGATGTGTTGTGGTGGAACTGTCTCAAAGAATTCAAAGTCAGACCACCTCTAATCCAAGTATAGGCATTTATTGAGATTGACACAAGCTGAGTTCCAAGAGGAACCAGCAACTTTAGTGAAATCAAGATGGATTTTTGTAGGGAAAGATACAATTACATAACAGAAATTATGACTATTAAAAAGGCAGGAGGGGTTTGTTAATTAGGTAATAGGGGTCCCAGCCTCAGTGCAACTGTGCATGTGATTACTCACAATACATACAGAAAAAACCCCTGGGAGGGCATGTATGTATGATAATGATATTATAATAAGCCTCTCTCCATCATAAATTCACCTGAGGGACAGCTTTTGCTATCATTGTGCAGTTGCCTACTTAGGGAAAGTCCCTTCTATTATTTTGGCGTCCACATCCTGCTTGGGCATCCTGGTAGTGCTGCTTTCTGATTGGCTGAGTATTGTGGGGGCTGAGACTAGACGGATGTGGTTGTGGACACGTGGACACACCTGCTGTTTCTGTGGGAGATATGAGGAATGGATCTAAGGGCAGTGGCTAGCTAGAGGCAGTGGCTGGGATGCCATCACATGGCCATGCCTGCTGTTTCTGTGAGAAATCCAAGTTCATGGACACATTTGTTGTTCTAGTGAGCAGCGAGGCAGATATGAAGAAGTTAGGATATTGAGTTGGGGCAGGGGGAGGGGCAGTGGGCCTACTGTTCAGTGGGGCTTCTATGGAAGTTAGAATGTTGGGGCTGGGGCAGCTTTATTAGGATTCCATCACCTTCATTCTGTCTGATCCCAGAGGATAGGACTAAGATACAAAAAGGCAAATGGATGCTTAAAATAAGAAAAACATTTTTTTACTAGCAATTAGAACAATCCGAAATTGGAATGGTGGGTGACGGGTTGAAGAACTCGAGTTCTTCAAGCAAAGTTAGGCTGACCATCGTCAGGTGCATCGGAGAGAAGACAGACTTAGGTGAGCGTTGGACTAGATGGCCACTGAGGCCCCTTCTAAATCTGAGATTCTAGAACTTCGCGATTTCTTCTGACATTGTGAAAAGAATCCTGAAACTGGCTGTCAGATAGAATGTGATTTTGAACAGAATTGTCTTAATGTTCTACAAAGAATGAATTTCATTCCAGCGTTTCCCACTGCAGTAGATAATGCAAGTATCACCACCGTTTCATAGAAGAATAAAATGACTTAGACTTGCCCACAGTTGCATAACTAGTGTCAGAGCTAGGATTCGATTAGCTCGAGTTCATCTTTCTTTCCATTGTACTGCATTCTATCTCTACATTTTTCTTGTTTTCACTTTACTGTCTTCAATTCAACACCCGTGTAGCTACCAAACGTCTATACCAATCATATAGCTACTAATCTTCGTAAAGCACATTTCTGATCATGTTACTTTGCTGCTCAGAATTCTTCACTGGCTCCCAGTTATCTCTAAGATAAAATACCAACTCCTCAGCCTGGCATTTAAAGCCATCCATGATTTAGCTCCAACCTACTTTTCCACCTTCCTACAGGCTAAATTTCAGCCAACTAAATTTCTAGCTTTTCCCTGAACTTGGAATTCTGTCTTGCCACTTCACAGCTTCAGACAAGTCATCTCCTGTGCCTTTCCATCATCTCCTTTTTGAATCCTTATCTTCTTCCAAGGTTCAGTTGAGGGACTAACTTCTCCATGAAGCCTTCCCTGATCTCCCCTAGTAATGTTCTTCTCTCTCTAATTCCTTGGTTTTTCTTATTTGGATATGTATTGCATCCACCAGTAATTTCTGTAGCCTCCTTGGGGCCAGAGACTGTTTTTTTCTTTACATTCAACAGCACCTAAACAGCGTTTTGCAAATATATAACATGCTTGCTAAATTGGATATGGTTAACAAACCATTTCCTGAAGAAAGTGAATATAAGCAAGCTTTCCTCAACAAACATTAAAGCAAATCCATTTCCTAGCCAATGCTGAATTTTAAAGTTGAGAGCTAGGATGGCCCACAGAATACATTTCTATAAATTTAATATTTGTACGATATATTCTAATACAGTTGTGTCAATTGACTCTAGGAAAATGCCTTAAATTCTGTGTTGGTTCCCCACCCCATCCGTTATTACAGTTTTCTCATCTATTAAATGAGAATGGGAATGACAACAATAACCTTCTTAACAGGATGTCTATGAAAGTTCTTTAAAAGGATAGATAACAAGTAGCATTGTACTCATCACCTACTTTCTCTAGGCCTCATTTTCTTCAATTACAAAATGAGAGGGTTGGACTAGATTCTCATTAAAGGTCCTTCTTATTTTAGAGCTTTATGATTCTACTCACATTACAATTTTTTCTCCTTTATTTTGAAAGGTTGTATGGCGATACAAAGGAAAGAAGCCGGCCACATTAGGTGCAAATACCAGAACCTATGACTGGATTCCCCAGAATGATCTTCTTGGTGAGACTGTGGATTAGAAATATCGAAATTTTTGAAAATTTACATACAAAATTAAATCTTATCTTCTTGGTTTTCTTACATTGGAGAGAGAGAGAGAGTTGTCCATCTGTTATACAAATCTCATTGTCAGTACTGGAACATTTTCCTAACACTAATTAAGTGGTTTATTTTATGAAATATTTCCAATTAATAAGAGACCTTGAGAGAAGAGGTAATGCATAATGGAGAGATCTGGAATCAGGGAGACCTAGATTCACATTTGGTCTCTGACACTTACTAGTTTTGTGTCTCTGGACTAGTGACTTACCACTATGGGCCTTAAGCAACTCTATAACTAAGCAATAAAAAAAAGCTTGTTACCTGCTTTGGTGGAAGAAATTCTTACACCTAAGAAATCACAGGTCTTTGATATTGTATGTAGGTTAATTCAAGGACAATACATTGACTTAAGGGATTATGAAAAAATCCTGAATGAATGAATTATATATTCATTCTTGATTAAAGTTATCAATGATACCTAAAAAGCCCAAGGCATTCTAAAAGAACTGAAATAATTCATCAGTCTAACAGAAGATTGCGAATTAAATACAAGTAGTTATGCAACTCAGCTAGCCTTTCCCAGGTGTTTCCTTCCTCCAACTATCTAAGGGGAAAAAGAGTCCCCAAAAGATTCTTTTCTGAAAGCAGATAACTTACATGATGATAATTACTGTAATTTACTGAATTACTAAACCATCAGTGGGTCTGTTGCTAGTCTCAGGCTATATTACACTAAAAGCAGCATGGTCCAGTGGAAAGCATGCTGGATTTGTGGTTAAGGAATCTGGGTTCAAATCCTGCCTTCCTATGAACCAGATTTTGACCTTAGTAAGTTATTTAAATTTTTTGGGCCTCATCTTTATGTGGTAAAATAAGAGAGAGTTGGATTGCATGAGTTCTGAGATTCCTTCCAGTTCTAGATATGTAATCCTATGGACAGTTCAAAATGGTAGGACATTTTGCTAATGAGTTAAAGGACTTTAACCTGTTTTTAATATTTGATAACTGTAATTAAATGTAACCGATTTCCTTCATAATCCTTTGTCTGATATTTTATGCTTTTAAAAACATTATTCTGATAAGGAGGCCATAGATTTAACTACATTGCCAGAGGGATCCATGACACAGAAAAGATTAAGAACTTTTCTAGAAAAATTATTATAAGGATTAAGTCTATGGATTCTTTCAACATTCTCAATCATCTCAAATTGGGGTGGAGGATAATAAATTATGAGAGGTTCACAACAAAAAGAGAGGAAACAGATCTGGTAAAATCTCAACCTGGCTACCTACTTAGGTTTCAGATGACAACTAAGAATTGAGTTGATTAAAGTGAGAGAAATTTGCTTTGGGTGTTCTTGTTGTAATCAGAAAAATAGAGGGGAGTAGATTGCTACAGAAATATTCTATCAGGTAAATCCATGAAAAGGAAGTGCAATTGTTTGGCAGCTCTCCTGAAAAAGAAGCCTCTCTTCTCTGGTTTTCTCTGTACACATTCTTCAAACGTTAATTAAATGATGCAATGTAAGATTTTTTTGTGGTCCACCTTCAATTCCTTTGCTTACTACTCATAACTATAGCCAGAGATCCACATGTAGATACTACCTCATGTTCTTTCCTAACATATTGAAAGTTCCAAGTGATCCCATTTTTATACCAATTTGTTTTATGAATATCACTGCCTTGCTCAGTGACTTATCCTGTCCATTCCTTCTTCTGTTTTTAAATCCATCATAACTGACTGATCCCTTTTCCTTACATTTCTATCCTAGGTCACCCCAAAACCAAGGCTTTTATCACTCATGGTGGAACCAATGGAATCTATGAAGCTATCTATCATGGAATTCCCATGATAGGTGTGCCCATGTTTGCTGATCAGCCTGATAACATTGCTCACCTGAAGGCTAAGGGAGCAGCTGTTGAAGTAGACTTTCATGAAATGACAACTGCAGATATGCTTAATGCTTTGAAGACAGTCATCAACAACCCCTCGTGAGTATCATAATTCAGCTTTCTTACCAACAATAATCTTACCTACCAGTACTGGGAATTGGTATAGTGAAACAAACACTAGATTTGGAGTCAAAGGACCAGTTTGAATCTTGATAGAATGTGAGGCCTGGAATCTGGAAGACTTATCTTCATGAGTTTAAATCTGGCCTCAGATATTTACTAACTGTGTGACCCTGGACAAGTAACTTCCACCCTGTTTGCCTCAGTTTCCTCATTTGTAAAATGAGCTGGAGAAGGAAATGGCAAACCACTTCAGTATCTTTGCCAAGAAATCCCCAAATGGGGTCATAAAGAGTGAGACTTGAATGAAACCATTGTACAAACTACTATAACATTGGCACCAATCATTTCAACTCTCTTAGGCAGCTGGATTAGATGGCGTCTAAGATTTGGGGTGGGGACCCTAAATCTATGATCTTAAAATCCTATTAATTAAATGATACATTTTAAAAACTTTTATTTTCTTTTTCTTTTCTTACTTTTCTTTCTCTCTCTCTCTTTTTCTTTTTCGAGACTGTCTCCCTATCTTGCTCAGGCTAGAAGTATATATAGTGACCACCCAAGGGTCAACCCCATTGCTAATTAGTATGAAACTTTGGCACAATCTATTTCCACCTTTGTCCACTTCTTTCCTTTTTAAATGGCTTGATGGCCCCCTATTCCCAAGGTCTTACCATACTGACGCTTACCAATCCTTAAAACCCCTAGCCTGAGCTGTCTTCTGCATCAAGTTTTTGATGCATTACAAAGGTGCTAAGCACCTTAGACGGGCCACCCATCATATTACTCCTTGGGCATAATTGGCTTCCTACTTGCTTATGTGGCAACTGTTATCTTCATAGTCTCTAAATGATGCCTGTTTTGCTGCCAGAAGTCAAGTAAAACTGAAAAGAAATAAAAGATGGCACAATTTCTTCTAATACTTAATGCATATACCTGATTAGCTTTAATCCTCTAGTAGTTCAAAATTCCCATACTCAAATGATTCACCAGCCTAAGTCTCTCCAGTAGCAAGGACTGCGCTGCTATGCCTGGCTTAAAAGAGCTTATTTTCAGTGAAGTAATGTGATATCTAAAAGGCAGCTATCATATTTGGGCACCTATTTCCCTCTACAACATGCTACTGAATCTCTCTATAAGATGTTAATAGAACATTACACATAATAGTCACTTAGTGTTTGGTGAATTAAATTAATGAAAACATTAGTGAGTCAGAATTTTTTTCTTTTTCTTTGCTTTTTGGTGAGGCAATCGGAGTTAAGTGACTTGCCCAGGGTCACACAGCTAGTAAGTGTCAAATGTCTGAGGCCATATTTGAATTCAGGTCCTCATGACTCCAAGGCTAGAGCTCTATCCACTGAGCCACCTAACTACCCCCAGAAATTTTTTAAAACTACCCTTTGGAAAAAAGGTTTCTAAATGCAATACCTGCTTCAGTACTTCATTGAAGCCATGACCTTATCATCCCTTCACAAGTGCAACTCACAACAACAACAACTTCTCAGCCTACTATTCATATCTTTCCATGTACATCATCCACAGAGGATCTACTCAACCCAATGGAAGAGTCCTATTGGGTCTTTTGACATTTTGTGGATACTAGTGCAGTGTTGAAGCTATTCCTCTGTTGTCTGGCCCTCTTAATCCTCATAATGGTTCCATATGAGTAGAAAAGGAGATTGGGCAGTTCTTTGCCCGTGATGATTTTTCACATGTGATTCATAAAACAGATGCTCTAGGAAAAAAAAAAACATCATCAATAAACACCAAGAATCCTATTTTATGTTTTGCAACATTTGATGAAGGAGAAGAATAAATTCTTTCTGTTTCAGACAGTAAGTCATATGGCTCACAGTTCATCTCCTTTGTTTCTTTTTAATAAAGGATAACTATGTGGCTGGAATCAGACAGATTAGAAAGATGTTCAGTTCCTTTGACCAGCTCCAAATAGGACTATCTGCTGGGTGATCCTTTTGTAGATATTCTAAGGGGAAAAAAAAAGTGACTGTCTTCTGCTTTGTGTATGTGTTTCTATTTCAGATACAAAGAGAATGCTATGAGATTATCAAGAATTCACCATGACCAACCTGTGAAACCCCTAGACCGAGCTGTCTTCTGGATAGAGTTTGTGATGCGTCACAAAGGTGCTAAGCACCTTAGACCTGCTGCCCATGACCTTACCTGGTACCAATACCATTCCTTGGATGTGATTGGCTTCCTACTTGCCTGTGTGGCAACTGTTGTCTTCATAGTCACCAAATCCTGCTTGTTTTGCTGCAGGAAGTTGGGTAAAAAAGGAAAGAAACAAAAGAGGGCATAATCTCCTCTGATACCTAAGGCTAAGGATGGGGGATTGAAGAGGTGAGGAAGGAGCCTGAAAGATCTCTACCTTAGTATCATTTAGTCTAGCTGCTATGAGATTTGAAACAAACTCCTCCTTTTCCCAATTCAACAATATTTATATAACTATTATTATGTGCAAAAATATTGTAGATAAGTGCTGAAGAAGATGAAAAGATAAATAAGATAGTCCTTGTCCTTGATGAGTTTACAACCAATTTAGAAAGGTAAGACTTGCACACAAATAATCAGAGTGGTGCTCGTAATACAATAACAGACATACCAAAAGAAGCACTTTAAGAGTTTCTTATTTTCATTCTCTAGTTTATGATATTAAAGATTTTCCCAGGTAGATTAGGAAAAAAACATTGAGGTACAGGAGAAAAAACAGTAGTACCTGTTAAAAAAAAAAGATTGCTAAAGGATTTCTCCCACATTTCATCTTGACTCGTAACACCTAAATATAGAGCAAAGTAAACTGCTTTGACTTATAAGAACGAGAATCACACAGAATGCTTTTCTTTTCTCAGGAAGAGAGATTGTCTCCACTACACTAATGGGAAAAGTGGGGATATCTTAGAGTAGAGGAAACTATAAAGGAATACAGGAGGAAAAGTTATTGTTCATTAGCAGTATAAAACAAAATAGTAACAAAATAAAAATCTTATGAGTACCATGCATTCATTTTTTAAAAAATCATTTGTATTGATCAATTCTTAGACCATAATCAAAGTAATAAACCCCCATGGGGAAGCACTATATTTAGTTCTCTAGAAATTAAGCCATTACTGTCCTATCTAAACAAGAGTATTAGGGTTTAGTGTTCTGTAAACCCTGCTTCTTAAAAATAATGAGGTTTACTAAAATTCTAACTTGATAATGTTTGTAGCTAAGTTAAATCTTTTAAATTTTCTTCTAATTTTAAAAAAGTTAAAGATGAACATGGTCCAAGGCGTTTTATCTCATTGTAGATTTCTAAACATCATTTAGATCATACCTGACCAGGACTATTTTTTTGAGTCTTAAACTTTCTACTTATGGACAGATATTTACACAATGCTCCTTAAATCGTCTATCAATGTGCTAATTATGTTAATTAATCTTTATGTGTTTCTAAGTCTTGGGACAAAAGTATATATATTGCTGCTGGAATTCTTACCATTGTAATTATCTATGTCTGCCTATTAGGAGTTTAAGATCTACACGATACATTTTCAGAGAACAAGTGCCCTCTACTGGCTTAGTTAAAAACTGTAAATTCCTACACAACTTTGAAGTTCATTTTTCAACAGCATACTTACAATTCATATGATTGTGGCACTGTTAATGTTACTTCTTGAACTTGACTGAAAATAGCAATATATGACTACAAATCCTTTGTATGCTAATTTTAGGTTAATATGCAAATAAGCACTACAAATTCCTTTCCCAAAGATTTTTAAATTAAAAAAAAAATTGCTATGGTGTGTATTTTTTAAGAGTATTTATTTTATGTTGGGGGGTGGGGAATCCTAAAATTCATGGGGACAATAATAGTCAATGGCCTAGATTTCTGCCTACTTTGCTAATGGGTTTCTACCTAAAACCAGTGGAAAATAGATTCATTCCAGAAAACATCTTGGTATTCAGAACTTCCACTATCAGAATGATTTGACATATATACGTCAGAGGTGTTTGACATAAATCAAATTTGGTCCTTCTGTGGCAAGACAATCCTTTTACACCTCCCTAATCTAGCCACTATTCCACTCACCACAGCAGATCTTCCAAATCTTTTCATCCCTTCGAAAACCTCCATATTTCCTCTCCCACAGATGAGAACCATGCCTTATATTTCACTGAAAAAAATTGAGGCTGGTAGCAGAGCTCCTTTTCTCCCCTTCTCCTCCTTTCACATCACTCAGATGCCTTCTCCCACTATCTCCTCCACCCCAGTCTCACAGGAAGAGCCCTTCTTAACAAGGCAAACCCCTCTATATACATATATACATAAGAAATCCTAATCCATCATGTCTTCTCACTTATCTTCAATCTCTCCCAGTATACTGGATACTCTCCTACTGCCTATAAACAAGACCATGTCTCCTCTACTCTCAAAAAATCCTCACTTGATCCATCTATCTCTGTTATCATCCTGATGAGGCCTAGAGGTTAGGAGTCCTGTAATCCCCAAATCATGACACGTGGGTCCTGCCCCAAGTCTTCTTTCAGCCCAAAACAAGGTTTATTGAAGATTCGCCACATTAGCTAGACTCTTAAGGAATCTGAGCATCTGTGGGCTATTGGCTAGATTGTGAAAATCTGCACATCTTAATGGAGACAAAATGGATCTTATATACAGAAAGACTGTGGGAGGGATCCAGGAGTGGTCAAAAAGTCTATGAGGTAATAGTGGCCAAGTGGTCTATGAGGTAATAGAATTCCAGAGAAATGGAGCCTAGGTGGGACCAAGGGTGGGAAGTGGCCTGGGGCCATAGGGAGGCAAGACAATGGAGGGCTAGGCTAGGTCAAGGATAACAGAATTGGGGTATTGGGTATAGCCAAAACAATGGAATCAGAGCCTCAGGGGAACTCCAAAGATCCTCTTGACCTCTGGAGAATTCAAGGACAGTCCAAAGATTTTCTAGGGCCCATAGACAAATGGAGCCCAACTTGGGACAAAGGTCTCACTTTGGGCCCATACCCCATCAATCCCATCTCTCTCCTCTTTTTTTGTGAGTACTCTTCTTGAGAAAGCAGTCAACAATCAAGACCTATACTTCCTTTTCTTTTCTAAATTCTCTGCAAGCTGCCTTCCTGTCTAATGAGTCTACTACAAATGCTCTCCAAAGTTACCAATGAATTCTTAATGGACACATCTAATGGCCTTTTTTCAATCCCCATTCTTACTGACCTTTCTGCACTATTTATTACCCACTTCTCTTTGACACTCTTTTCTCTTGTGATAATTTAAAAAGGTTGACATGGTTTCCAGGTAATTTAATCATTTTATTAATAAGGTCAGCAAGTTAATAAAAAGATAATCATTTGGCTGTCTCTTCTACCAAAGACAATCATGGTGGGGGGCTCACAGTTCATATACCCCTCAAAACAGTAGGTGGTCCACCAAACAATAATCAAATCTAATTGGTCAACATGATTGGAAGTAGGCTATATTAAAATGAAGGGCTGAGTATCTCTTGGATAGGGAAAATATTTCTATACCATACCACCCATAACTTTGGGCTGTCAATTCAAAGAATGCATACCCCACCCAAGCCTGAGCAGAACATGATAACTTCCACCAGGGTGAAGCCTCAAATGAGGAAGTGGGTCCAATCTCATCATTAATGCCCTTAAGAACTGAAAAAGTCAGGACTTTGTAAGAAGGTGGGGGGGTGTCTGAATTTCCCCAAGATATTGTTTATTAATTATCATTTCTCACATTCCCCATTTGAAATGGTTTCTAACTATGGGACTTAAGAGGAGAGACAATGAGAGGAAAAAGGGAAAGATGCCCCCATCCCATGCTTTGACAAAATTAAAGGGAGCAATCCCCTTTGATAAACAGACCTTACAGATAAAAGGCACAAAGGAAAAAAGTAAAAGCAAAATAAAATTCATAGGTGTGTTTCCTTCTGTTCCTCTGGAAATATCTGATGCAGTTCTATAGTTTGAGTGTGGTCTTAGAGCAGTTCTTCTCTGGCTCAGTTCACTTGTAGAATGTCTCTTCGCTACTAAAATTTTCCTACAAAGTTGATCTTAACACAAATTTAAATTTACTTTGCCAATTACCAGGTCAGATAATGAAAGTTAGCTCAAACTTTATGTCTGTTACTGGAAAATCAAATTTGGAAACTTCTAGACCAGGGATTTTACAATTTTAGAAATTCAGATACAAATAGAAAATTATGATGGGGTTGGAATCTGGGCGCCAGAAAGGAAAACCCTGGACTTTCCCACATGGCCAAATCTCTGGTGGTCCCCTGAGGCTATAATCCCATCAACTGGTCTTCATTGTGGCTACACCCAATCTCCCCTCCATTGTTTTGCCTCCCTGGCCCCAGACCATTTCCCACCCTTGGTTCCACCTAGGCTCCCTTTCCCACCCTTGGTAATTCTATTACCTCATGGACTACTTGGCTCCTCCTAGATCCCTCCCACAATCTTTCTGTACTTTCCCACATGGCCAAATCTCTGGTGGTCCCCTGAGGCTATAATCCCATCAACTGGTCTTTCATTGTGGCTACACCCAATCTCCCCTCCATTGTCTTGCCTCCCGGTGGCCCCAGGCCACTCCCACCCTTGGTCCATTTCCCACCCTTGGTAATTCTATTACTTCATGGACTACTTGGCCACTCCTAGATTCCTCCCACAATCTTTCTGTATATAAAGTTCATCTTGTCTCCATTAAGATGTCCAGATTTTTACAATCTAGCCAATAGCCCATAGATGCTCAGATTCTTTAAGAGTCTAGCTGATACGCCAAATCCTCAATAAACCTTGTTTTTGACTGCAACAAGGCTTGGGTCGAATTCTTTCAGGCAGGACCTGGGTGTTGTGATTTTGGGATTCCAGAACCCCTAACCTCTAGACCGCATCAATTAGAACCCAATTTTTATACTTGCCATTCTTCATTCCGCCAGTAGGAGAATGAGATTCTACTAAAGAATTAATAACAGAATACTTTTTATAATAAGATGGACTCTAATACAAAAGTAAATTCATTTAAAAGTTGCCAGAAGAACTTCAATTATTATAACAAAAGGTTCTGGGATAGGATATATAAATACACTGAATAATCAACTTCAAAACAGTACGTATCAAGTAAGTTATTATAATAAAACATTTCCAACTTCTAGCCACGTTCAAATTAATAACCCCTAACAAAAAGTGGATGTCTCTTTAAGGCATTCATAAGATAGACCACAAGCCGTTCTTTTTCTAGGATAACGAATTCTACTGATATTCCTTTCCTTAACACAGAACTGAGACAGTTATATTAACTAAATAACAGAATCATATCCTGGTTTCACAAGTCTTTGCATTATTTGCCTAATTATCCCAATACCATTGTGAGAAATTAAAGGACCCTGACTTACCCAAGAATATATAACTAGTAACATGTCTATGCTAAATAATTAAAAACTTAGTTATTTGGAACACAGAAAGAACTAAAATTTTAGGCCAAGTTAACTCAAATCTTACACCTGCATCCTATTATAGTAACTCAGATGTGCTCCAGTGTTAGCCTATAAGATAAAGATTTAATATTATGTTCATATTGATCATTTGACATTATAGAAATTTGCAAAAAAAAAAAGTGACATAAGGGAAAGTGTTCCCTTATTTTGACGTAAATTCTAGGCAAAAGTTGTGTAGATGTCTAATTGCATTGAGCCAGGCTTAAACTTAGCCTGTTAAATTCTTCCATTCAAGAAATGTTATGCTGGGGAAATTGAATTAGAAGAATTCTACTTCAGCCCATGCCAATAGTTCTCTCAGCCTCTGCCATAAGAACACCACCTGCAGTTTATGCATGTGAAACCCCATAGGGTTGTTGGCATCATGCATCATTGGATTAATACCATTCCTTGATGAACATAACTGGAGTCAAACTCAGAATAATATCAATTAACAGTCCTATAAGGTCTTAAATAGTTAGTTCTGATAATTAGAGCTTCAGGTGGATTCAGCTCTGAAGGATCAAATATTCTAGATAACAAGTATTGACCAAAACCTCACATTGGTAACCGTAACAGATCCATCATAAAAACACATTTTGATATAACTAGTACTCATGCTAAGTAGGTATTACACAAATGATTTTGCTTTAAGATGCTTAATAACAAACAACAAAAGACTTGAGATTTATAAACATAATAATCCCAAATTATATACAGAACAGTTTTTATAAAATATTGTCTATAGTAAAACAGGTTCCATTAGTAATGGTGTTCAAATGGACATAAACACCTACTACTGCTCTCAGAATCCCTTTTAAACAATGAGAACATCTTTAAAGTGTCTCTTAAGTAGTTTGCATACATTTCTACACATGTTCAAATTCCAGATTAAATAACAAACATAAGTAAAATCAGATTTCCCATTAGGGTGTCACAAGATAGCTCATAAGATACTACTCTTCACTAATATAACTGTCTGTACTGAAATCCTATTCCTTAAAACAAAAACAAAAGAGGTTCCCAACTTTAATCTCACAACTTAATAGATTTACATCTTTGTTTCACATGCTTGTTCACCTTTGTTTAATTATATTCATATCACTCTGAAAGAATGAGATACTTCAGGAATTGAATCTTATACATATGACAAGTTCAAACACTGATTTAACTCTTGCTTAGGCCATGGAATGACTACAAATTTAGATCAAAACAACAAGATCTTTCCCACTTAGACCTTATTACAGTAATTTAGATGCCTTTGTATTAATGTAATAAGCTTCAGTATTGTAATTACAAATAAA